CTCTCTCTCTCTCTCTCTCTCTCTCTCTCTCTCTCTCTCTCTCTCTCTCTCTTTTATATATGCATATAATGTACCATGCAAGTCACGCATGCATTATAATTGGTTCCCTATTTAATCCTGATGTTCATAAAGCAAAAGAACTAATGAGTTAGAAAGGGACAAACTAGCAAGTAGCACTTGTAGCTATACAAAAAGAAAGAATGTCTGATACATATGCAAAAAACAGACCAAATACTGGTACAAGTGCAATAGCACACCAGTTAAATCATCTTACTAAATCGTACTAAGGTGTCCTTTCTTTATAACATATATAATATAACTTATTTAGGCCAGAAATCGTTTTCCCAGATAATTTCTTTGGGACCTACATGGATGGATGTAAACCGGCTCAAGACCATTCATTTCTCTTTATCATTATTATTTGATACAGCAATGATTACCAACAAAGAAATGCTTAAATATATTTTGAAGTGTCTGAGTAGGCAGTAAAAGGAAGAATAATTGTATGACTGGCAAACAAAACTTATAATATCACTAAGTAATATCATTAAGTGCCACAACAAATGCATTTATGTTTCAATAATTTAACATGGCAAAAATATCTGACAAGACACTACATCAAGCCTCCGAAACTTCTGTCAAATTGATAATTTTAAAGAGCTTGGAGTAGAAAGTACCTCAAGCCAATCTTCAGAAACCTCTTCTTGGCCCTTCTTAGAGATATGTTGCTTACATAAGCCATATCAGTCTTCCCAAATCTCCATTCCCAGAAGAGCATTTTTCTCCTGCAGTGACATGTCCCACATTAATTTTCAAGCTAAAATAATGATGATAAGACCACTGATCCGCTCGAGCTCTTGCAACTATAGGAGACAATTTGGTGCCCAAAGGACAGTAACTATGTTAGGAAGATATCTAAAATACAATCAGATGATAACCAGGAAAGCTTAGAAATAAGAAATAAGTCGACAAGTTTTCAGGTTCACCATAAATAGTTGAAATAAAGAACGGGAGCAAATTAAACTGCGTCGGTTCAGCGTTATGGATCTAGAACTGAATCATGACCAAAAGTTAATCATGGCATATCATTATCAACTTCATTTTGGAATAACGTACAAAGTTAGGCTAGATTCCAAATAACATACAATAACATTCCCCAAAACATTGACTCAGCATTATAATTAGTCAAACATTAGAGGCTGCAAGATTTTGGTAACTTCCACCTCTTTCTCACAAGAACAAGAATACATGAACGGCAGGTCAACAAGAGAGTGATAAAGTCCAGAAACACTTCTTTATTGTAAAGAAGCTCATTGCCTGACGTGAGCATCAACATGTTTTGCATATAACATGTGCAATCCAATGAATGGTGAATGGTGAAAGAGCAATCAGTCAACCATACATTTCAAGCTAACAATCTATGTAGACACTATAGTCCACACCATGTTGATTGACATCATCAATTTTTTGTTATATCACCCAAAACCCTAATTCGATTTATTATTTCATGAGACAGTATAAGAAACAATTACCTGAACGATGCCATGGGCTCTGGAGAGCAGACCGATGGCCACAGACATCACCATGTGATCGGCATTGCAGAGGGCAAGGCCAGCCAAAGAAAAGGAAACCACCTTAAACCTCTTCCAAGAAGTAGCTGGAGGTTGAAGAAGCTCCGGCTTCTTTAAAGAACATACATAGTTTAAAGAAACTCCGGCTTCGCGGGTGGTTATCTTCCAAAAACTCATTAAAGAACACCTTAAACCTCCTCCAAGAACTCGCTGGAGGCGCCGTTCTTGAACGAAACCCTTGAGAGAGGAAATCAAAGTTTAGGAAGCGCAGGAATCCGAGATCCTCTCGGGCATTTGGAAATGAAACCTCTTCCAAGAACCTGGTGGGGTTCGAACTCCGGCCCCGTGGCTCGTTCTCTTCCAAGAACTCGTCGGAAGCGCCGTTCATGAACGAAACATTAGCGGGAACAGAGGAAGTTGCGATGCATAGGAACCAAAAAGCCCATCGGGCCCGACGATTCGTTCGCTTCCAAGAACCACCCTCCCTGATGCGAGGAACCCGGAGAAGCTCAGGCTCCCGCCGCTTTATCCCTTCCAAGAACCCGCTGGAAGAGCCATTCTTGAACGAAACCCTATACCCGGAGGAGAGAAGAGCTTGGGAAGTGTCGGATACCCTCGACGATTTGGGATCCCTCGAGACCCTCGCGAGCGAACC